GTTTCGAAGTTTTAATATTTCTCAACCAAGTATTTTGTCTTCTTTTGTTTGTGCAATTCTCGCAATATCTGATAGTGTATATGTGCCCTGTCTTAGAACCCTTAAATTTGTCCTATTTTTTTATTGATGACCTTTATAATTCTGAGATTCACATTTAGGTCTTTAATCCATTCTGAGTTGGTTTTTGTATATGGTGTGAGATAAAGGTCTTGTTTCAATCTTTTGCATATCGATTTCCAGTTTTGCCAGCACCATCTGTTAAAGAGACTATCACCGTCCCACTTAATGTACTTTGGCCCTTCCTCAAAGATCAGTTGGCTGTATGTGGATGGGTTATTTACTGGAGTCTCAATTCTGTCCCATTTATCTATGTATCTTTCATTGTACTAGTACCAGGCTGTTTTGACTACTGTAGCCATGTGGTAAATTTTGAAATCAAGGAGTGAGAAGCCTCCAACGTTGTTATTCTTCTTAAGCAGTGCTTTGGTTTTCCGGAAAGTCTTTCCTTTCCATATAAAGTTTGTAATAGTTTTTTCCATCTCTTTAAAGAATGCCGTTGGAATCTGGATTGGGATTTCATTATCTGTAGATTCTTTTGGGTAGTATTGACAGTTTCACAATGTTAAGGCTTTCTTTTCAGGAACATGATATATTCTGACATTCTTTTAAGTCTGTTTTGGTTTCTTGTAGTAATGTTTTGTAGTTTACCTCATATAGGTCTTATGTTTCTCTGGTTACGTTTCTACATATTTCATCCATTGGGCAGCTGTTTTAAATGGTAATGATTTCCTAATTTCCTTTTCAGTGCTGTAATTGTTAGTATAGAGGAATCTGACTGATTTTTCTATTTTGATCTTGTACACTGCCACTTTACTGAATCTTCCAATGAGTTCTAGTTGTTTTCTTGTTTTTGAAGAGTTTGGAGTTTTCTATGTATAGGATCATATCATCTGCAAATTGAGAGAGTTTTAATTCTTTGCCAATTTGGATGTCTTTAATTTGACTCTATTGCCTTATAGCTTTGGCTAAGACTTCCAACACAATATTGAATAGGAGTGGTGATAAAGGGCACCCTTGTCTGATTCCTGTTCACAAAGGGAAAGATTTCAGTTTCTCTCCATTGAGAGTGATGTTGACCGTTGATTTTTACCAAACAGTCAGAGAAGAGCTGACACCAATTTTACTCAAACTATTCCAGAATATAGAAAAGAATGGAAAACTTCCTAGTACATTTTATGAACCCAACACAATCCTTATACCAAGACCAGGGAATGATGTCACTAAAAAAGAAAAGTATAGAC